TATGGTGCGCACAAATATGCAAGCTGCCGACTGTCAAGTATGTAATATATTGCCCCAAAAACTGGCGCTTGCTTCGAGCTGTGTGAAGAGGAGCGGGAGTTTGTAACTCAAGTAAATGTCGTTGTAATGTTTGGACCAAGTTGATCGAGTATGCATATATAGCAGAGGTGCCGAGATGATGATCGGCTGATATGCCCCAATGGAAAAGCGAAAAATTGACTAAGATGTCCCAATGGGAATAAATGGCCAATGTAATGCAATGAATGATCAGGGAAGACGGATGATTATTTACTCGCCCCAAGATCCTGCTGTTGAAATTGCGTGCTGATCGGATAGGATTTGACCATTGATTTTACATTTAATTGTTTTGCCGAATTATGTTGTTAGGCGAATAAAGTTGCCGAATACTGTGGCCAATGTTGTTGCATAAAGTTAACAATGCATAAAGTCGAATAATGATCTTGCACAATGTTGAATTAATAATGGTGCCAAATAATCTTGCCGAGTAAAGGTGATGCGCTGTCGAGTAACTAGTGCCAAAACATCGGTGTCCGTTTCATATATAATGTGATTTTGCTGAGAAGTTGGTAACTTGAGGTTCTTGTCCAACGTATGTTTGTTTGAGTGATATTCGTTAACAGATAATGTTTTCATTTTGGGCTTTCTTTGGTTATATTTTAGCGAGTAATACTACGAACCGAGACTTATCAACCCAGAAATTATTCAGAATTATCAACTTGTGGCTCAGATTTATTCTACACATAAACCCTACACTATTCAAATTTAATCTTCACCACACAACACACAAGTTATGTCTGGGAGAGTAGCTTTTCTCTATTTTAGAAGGCCTCTGATGATGAATTGGAAATTATATTAGTTTTCTTGAAAATCAATTGGGTGTATAATGAGAATTTGTATTATGTGGGTTCATTTTCCTGAGAAATTATGAATTAGATTTTCTGCAGCCTTGAAGCTGTTGTTTTTTCAGAAATTCTATACTCTTAGGTAGTGTTTGGTTTATTGGAATGAAGTGGAATGGAATGATCATTTCCTCAAAATATTCATTCTCATGTTTGGTTAGACTAAAAATATAATGACAAATGCATTACAAATAGAATTGTCTTTCACTATGTTAAGGGAATGGTCATTCCATAAGAAAGTCTAAGGAATCACCATTCCATTTCATTCCAATGAACCAAATAGAGCATTATTTATGTTCTTTTTCAGAGACCCTCTTGTGTTGTTTCACCTGAAGAAAGTGATAGATATTGTTTGTTATTTGGAAATATTTCACAAAGTGTTCTAATCGTGTGGTTTGGTGTGCATGAATTAAGATGGGTATTGAAGTGCTTACTAGTATGTCCTCAAAGTGGCTTTGAGGAAGAAATTGGTGGTTACTTGTAGCTTGTTATAGTGTGTATATGATTTATGGTTAAACACACTACTTAGGCTTGCAACTTCTTTTCATGCGTCTCTTTTAAGTGTTGTTGGGCTCCCTAAGGTTGTGTTTGGATTAAGGATTTGACTAGGGATTTGGAAATGGAAAGAAAAAGACGAGTAAAATGTGAAGGAAATATTAGCTAATTTTTTTTCTCAATTTCCCTCAACTTTTCCTTTCCCCTTCCAAATCCCTACCAAAATCCATGATCCATAGGGTAAGTTTCTCTTTGGAAGAGGAAAATCCTTTGAGATTTCCTACTTAATTGAGTTACTACTAAATACTAATCAGGTAATCAAGTACTGAAAATTAAATATCGGGGCATTTACACACAAGATTTAATTTGTTATACTCCATCAAGTCTTAACTAAGATTTTTTGGACCTTCAAGTCCTATTAAATTTTTAATAGTCGGAATTGCCTTTCAAACAATTGTTCATTATTTATTATTACCTATGAAGGAACATAATGATTTGACATCTATTTTGATTTTCAAAACTTTAAAACGTCAACTTTCAAATTGAAAAAACTAAAAGAAAAAAATTATGTGCAAAAAAAAAAAAAAAAAAAAAAAAAAAAAAAAAAAATTTTTTTTTTTTAAAAATTTAATTTTTTTTTTTTTTTTTTTTTGGTGAAAAGTTAAAAATTTTGTGTCTACAAAGGAGAATGATGAATCTCTCTCTCTCTCTCTCTCTCTCTCTCTCTCTCTCCAAGCTTTTGGAGGAACTCAAAGGGAAAAGCTTTCTGAGCAAAATAAGCTTCATGTTTACATCCTTACATAATCTTGTTTCCTCTTGCCCCTAAATTGTACTGCTCTGCTTATTTTGTACTCTTCTTTTGCAAAGAACACTACTCCTTATATGATTTATTGTGCCATGAAACTCTATGCTACATTTTATTACTAGATCATGGACCTTCCAGTCAGAATCATCATGTTAAAGTAGAATTTATAGTTGCAATAGTATGCTTCAAGTTTTGCTTCTTTGTGAATTTGCTCTTTTTTTCCCTCCTCATAAAAGTTTTCTTAATGAACAAGTTATGGTCTAGATGGGTATGCTTTATTTATAGCAGTGTATGCTGGCTTAGAAGTAAGAACTTGCCCTCTCTCTAAAGCATAATATGTTTACAAGGCTTCATTAATCTATCACTAACATCCATCATGTCATCCTTTAGGAGGTTCATGTTAAAAATAGTAAATGTTGTGTCTTTGTTTCTCATATCACAAGCTAAAAACAGTTGAATGAATTTCATTTATCATTTTATTTCAAGTCACAAATTCTCGGCAGATCTACATATGAACGTGAGAATTATCTTAAATTTCTATAAATAGTCCCTTTAATCATAAACAATATCCAACATGTGCAGAGTTCCATTATAATTCATGTATGAATTTTTTTTTTTAATTCAACTTTACTGACACTTTGACTAATATGTTTTCCTATATCCTTGCAATACCAGCTATCCCGTTAACCATGTCAGCTGGTCTGCTATTTGGTTATATTATTGGCACTATCATTGTCTCTATTAGTGGAACGGTAAGTTAGAAGTTTTGCCAGTATGAAAGAACAAATTTTAAGGAAATGGGGTGTACTTGAACTTGTATCTTCTTACCCTTTCAGGTGGCTGCAAGTGTTTCCTTTCTAATTACCAGATATTTTTGCCGTGATCGTATTCTTAAATTGGTGGAAGGAAACAAGAAATTTCTTGCGATTGACAAGGTAATTGGAGAAAATGGTTTTAGAGTTGTTACGCTTCTCCATTTGAGGCCTTTGCTTCCTTTCTCTCTTGGAAATTATTTATATGGACTTACATCAGTGAAGTTTGTTCCATATGTGTTGGGAAGGTTTGTTTCTTGTATATATTTATGGGAAAGAGCAAAAAAATATTTGTTCGGATCAAATCTTCAAATTTGTATGGAGCAACCATGATGATCTTCAAATTTGTTGATGTTTTAAAATTTCTTGATCATTTCTTAATACCCCAAGAAATATTTTTGTCCCTAAGTCGTTAGTTTTTGTACTTATGTGAAGTTTCCTTTGTCATGCAGACAAGAAATGCAACAGGGTTAGTTGCTCCAGCTATTGCCGTGAGTATAGGTGTCTTAACATATACATTGGGCACCCTCGTCCCTATGATAGGAGCAAGTGGATTTGCTACAGTTGCACCTGTAACTGCTATAGAAACTGTTGCCGGTAGTTTTAGATAATCTCTCGATAGTTATCGATATGTTTAGAAAGTTAGATATGCATAGTTTTGGGTGGTTTAAACTTTTTGTACAGTTTAGAACTTAAAGATACAGTTTTTGAATCTTTAGAATGTATAGACAATTGTTGAATGTTTATTATTTATGGATATAGTTTCTTTTTGATGTTTCAAACAATATTTTGGTGGTTGATTGATATTTTGTGATGCTTGTTTGTAATATTTGTTAGATTGTACAAAATTGGTCAAATAGAACCTGTTGAATTTAAAAATAAAAAAACTGCATATTCTACAGCAGGCATAATAAGTAGTCGTATTACATATTTTACGGCGCGCAATCAACGTCGTTATTTGTCTTACCAATTAACGACGTACAAAATCTGCCGTTAAATAGTTTTTAACGACGTACCATAGTATGTCGTAGAAAAAGTAACAACGACGCACAAAATCTTCCGTTAAATAGTTTTTAACGGCGTACAAAGCATGTCGTTGAAAGTGAATGACTTTCCATGACTAATCATAATATGACGCGCGCTGCACGTCGTAAAAGAGTTTTTACGGCATGCATTGTGCGCCATTTTCCTTTTTACTCCATCTATTTCTACCTCTACACATAACTCTACCCCTACTTCTCCTCAACTACACTCCTTTTTCTAGTCCTCTTTCCAGTCTACTCCTGCTTCTGTTTAGCCATCTGCGGTATCAATTCGGCTTCTGTTCTTTGCTTTCAGCCTTCTACTCCTACTGTTTCTGCTTTGCCTGCAGCAGTTTAGTTTGCTTTTGGCCAACCTGATGCTGCCACTGTCTTCCCTGGTCTATCTGTTACTACATTGTCTCCATCTTTTGCTATCTCTCCCTCTATTCCTATTTCCTCTCTAACTATTGACCTCCCTTTTGTGCATCCTATTCCTGTTTTCCTTGCTCCTTCTTGCTCTTCTCTAAATATTCATCCCATGACTAACAAGTCCAAGTCTTTTTCTTCTTCTACTCTTCTCTCTACGATTTCTCCTCTTGTTGAACCCACTTGTTTCTCTGGGTTTCAATACTATGCTTTGTTCATTGATGAATTTAGAAAATTTACTTGGGTTTATCCTCTTTGCTATAAAAGTGAAGTGTTTACCAAATTTATGGAATTTAAGGTGTTTGTTGAAAATCAATTTGAGACTACTCTTAAAGATTTTTGCACTGATGGTGGTGGCAAGTACACTAGTTCTCTGTTTGAGATTTTTCTTAGAACACATGGCATCATTCATCAAATGTGTTGTCCACACACTCTTCTCCAAAATGGAGTTGTCTAGAGAAAACATAGGCACATTGTCACTACTACCATTGCTTTGCTACAGCAATCAGGTCTTCCTCTTGCTTATTGGTTTGATGTTCTTGCTACTTCTATCTTTCTCATTAATAGGTTGCCCAGTTCTAAAGTTCAAAATCAAACTCCTTATGAGGTCATATTTCATCATTTCCCTAATTTTGCTTTTCTTAAAAGCTTTGGCTGTTGGTGCTTTCCCTGGCTTCAACCCTATGCTTCTCATAAGCTAGCCCTTAAGTCAATTCCTTGTGTCTTCATTGGTTATCACCCCTCTATCAAGGTATATCGTTGCCTTGATCCTATTTCTGGCAAAATTTATTTGTCTAGGCATGTCACATTTGATGAATCACTTTTACCTTTTCTTACTCCATATATTTCTAACTCTACCCCTACTCTTCCTCAACTACACTCTTTTTTCTGGCCCTCTTTTCAGACTGCTCCTGCTTCTGTTCAGCCATTTGTTGTATCAATTTGGTTATCTGTTGTTTCCTTTCAGCCTTCAACTCCTGCTGTTTCTGCTTTGCCTGCAGTAGTTCAATTTGTTTGTGGCCAGTTCGATGTTGTTCAGTCTACTGCTGCCCTTGGCTTGCCTGCTGCTGCCATTGTCTTCCCTGGTCTACTTGCCACTGCCTTGTCTCCATCTTCGGTTGTCTCTCCCTCTATTCCTATTTCCTCTCTAACTATTGATCTCCCTTTTGTGCATCATATTCATGCTTTCCCTGCTCCTTCTCACTCTTCTCTAAATATTCAACCCATGACTACCAGGTCGAAGTCTTCTTCTTCTTCTTCTTCTTCTTCTTCTTCTTCTTCTTCTTCTTCTCTTCTCTCTACTATTTCTCCTCTTGCTGAACCTACTAGTTTCTCTGAAGCTGCTCTAACTCCTGAATGGTCTCAAGCCATGCAAGAGGAATTTCAAGCCTTACAAGCCCAAGGAACTTGGTCTCTTGTTCCTCATCCTCCTCACAAGCAAGCTATTGGCTGTAAGTGGGTTTTTCACTTGAAGAAAGATTCTGATGGCTCCATTGCTCGCCACAAACCTTATATTGTGGCTAAGGGCTATCTCCAACAGGAAGGCATTGATTATCACGAAACGCTTGGCCCTGTCGCCAAGCAACCCACAGTCTGAGTTCTCCTTAACATTGCCCTTCACTTTAATTGGTCCATTAAATAATTTGATATTTCAAATGCTTTTCTTCATGGTCTTTTTCAGGAAGAAGTTTATATGGTGCAACCTCCAGGTTTTGAAAGTTCTTCTTCTCCTCATCATGTGTGCTAATTGAAAAAGGCTCTCTATGGGCTTAAGCAAGCTCTTTGCGATTGGTATTTGACTTTTCCTCTTATCTTGTCTCCTCTAGCTTCACAAACAGTCATTGTGACTCTTTCATGTTCATACAAAGAACTTCTACCACTGTTACTTTTCTTTTGATCTATATGGATGATATTTTAGTTACTGGGAATAGTGCTGATCATATCACTTCTCTTATTCATCATATGCACAAAGCCTTCTCCATGAATGAATTGGGTGATATTTCTTATTTTCTTGGTATATCCATAGCTCGCATTACCTCTGGTTTGTTTCTCTCTCAGCCCAAATATGCCACTGACATTCTCTACAAGGCTGGTATGATAATTTGTAAACCATGTTCTTCTCCCATGGCATCTAAATCCAATCCTCTTTTAGATACTTTGGTGACTTTTTCTCAGCTGTCTCTGTATCGTAGTATTGTGGGGGCCTTACATTTTATGACTTATTCACCCAAGAAAAAAAAATGGTGTACTCTTCACTTCTGGCTCTTTAGATTTGCATGTTTTTTCTGATTCGGATTGGGCCAACGATGTTCTTGATCGTAAATCTACCATTGGCTATTGTGTCTTTCTCGGCCCTAACTTGATTTTATGGTCTGTGAAGAAACAATCAACTATTTCTCGGTCCTCCACTGAAGCAGAATACAGGGCATTTGCTCAAGCTTCTGCTGAACTTCAATGGATTCACATGCTTCTACAAGAACTTTCTCTTTCTTTTGCCACTCTTGTTTTATGGTGTGACAACCTTTCCGCTATTTCTCTTGCCTCTAATCCTATTTTCCATGCTCTCACTAAGAACATCGAGGTGGATTATCATCTCATACAGGAGCAAGTTCTTTCTCACAAAGTTATGGCTAAACTTGTGTCTTCCTCTGATCAAGTGGTTGACTTATTCACCAAACCCCTTCCCGTGGCTCAATTTTCTTATCTTCTTCCCAAGCTTATGGTGCATTCCTCACCCATTCGCTTGCGGGGGTCTGATAAGAGTATGTCCCCAACTCAAGCAGTATATCCCCAGCTCAAGCAAGTAGAACCCACAAATTAAAACAGAGGATAACTTCCATGTTTGTTAATAGTTGGATAGGTTGCACTCTTGTATTATAAATACTCATGTACTGGTTTGTTGTGAAATAAGATTGAAGATTTCATTTTCTCATCATTGGTTACGTATCAAAAAAATAATTTAATAGTTGTAGTCACATAATTTTATCATATTAGTGTTGTAATAGTTTTTTAAATCATATGTATCATTCACTTATTTGAGAAGAAATATAAATGATATCATGTGATTATCTTATCAAATCTTTATCTTTCATATTTTTTAAAAATAGTGCCTAAAAAATAAATAAAGTAGATTATCGAAGTGAGAAGATGGTCTAATCAATCCCACCTGGGAGACAAATTGGACCCTTAAAATAAAACAAGCTCTAGCATTGTGAATTGAAAATTTCAATAAACAAAATATTATTTTCTAATCACAATATATATAATCATCAGTAAATATTCTTCATAGAATTTAATTAGAATCTTTCAAATATCAAAATAATTCCATTCACCTTGTTCGAAACCATTTATAAAATATTTGGCAGCCTAACTAATTGATAATAAAATAAAAATAAATATTAAAAATAAAAACAAACAAAATTTTTTTTACATTTTCTAATGTTACATCTTTTGCTTGCCCTCTCTTTGAGTCCTTGTATCACTAGAAGTGGATACATTCCACTTTTGCACTTTGTCATCACCAAAGCCAAGTTCACTTTTATCAAACCCCATCTATTACGTACCTATGTGTAGCTCGACTTTTTCGCGCCCCGTTTCGGAAGTTTGAAACAAGCCCTACAGTTCAGACTCTCGCGGTTCTGAATTTGATTCCACAAGTGCAATGTGAAATAGATAATCACCAAAGAGTCTAAATCCGGCAAATCTTTTGAAAAATCGATTTTGAATCAAATTGCCAAAAATGGACTGCTTTTCCAGATACAGAGTCACCACCTAAATATTTTATTTTGTGGAAATTTAGGAAACCCATGACTCATGCCAAAGGCCACGTGTCCGTCATCACCAAGATTGTCTCGGCTAAGGAACTTGGGTACGAGAGGAGAAGGTCATGAATTGAGCCCCCCCGTTCGCCCGATCAAAGATCGACCTCTACTAATCATGATATGATTCTTATCAACATTATATGCTCTTGTTCCGGTTTGTTAGGCTAGCATTTACTATGTAATGCACACATAAGTATAGACTGAATTACAAGAATTAGAACATCTCGAGTCATGTTTGCTTTGAAAATTGTTTCAAAATATGTAACACTTGAAAAAGTGATTGCATATGAACATTACTCAAATCATCCCAATCCAAGCAATAAGCCTTCATCCATAGGCATACAAGCAGTTTAGCACTTAAGCAATTAGCCCCATGGCAAACATGCTAGATATGGCAACAATCACACACATGTGATTATGCTAAAGCAAATAAAAGCTTATCTAGTACTCCAAGCCAAAACAAACAAAAGAGTTAGAAAAAAATGCATGATTCCTAGCTATGCAATATGACTAATGCAACACATGCAATATGCGATTAATAGGCTCGGCTAATAAGCATGGTACATGAATCAATGAAATAGCATGCGGTCTAAGCACGTATTCAAAGAAGTATTAAACTAAAAATGCAGTTAGAATGATGAACCGAGCCCCGGTGCATGCAATACGGATGGATGCAAACATGAAGTATGCTAAACGAAACAAGATGTCCATAAAGACGTGGGGTCGGAAGACATACACGTTATTACATTGCGCTCTCATGAAAGAGAGTTTGAATGAATAAACTAACTAACTAGCTAAGCTACTTAAGCTAAGCTAACTAATTAAGCTAAGCTAGGCTAATTAAAGGTAAGCTAATTAGGCTATTACAAACCGAAATGAATAAACTAGCTAGGCTACTTAACTAATTATTACAACAAATGAATTAACTATTCTAGTTAACTAATTAATTACAAAACAAAATTGAATAACTAATTTAACTAACTAATTAGTTACAACACTTATCAAAATTTACTAGCACAAAATTAACTAGCTACAACTAATTAATTACAACAAATATTTAATCTAAATATTTAAACTTTAGATAAACTCAGAATGTGAGAAGATGGGGGATGTACCTCTAAACCGGATAGACTTGGGAGGAGATGGGGGATGAACTCCGTAGATACAGCTCATATGCTTGTCTAGAGAAATGAAGATAGAGCTCATATGCTTATCTTTGAGAAGTGTAGATATAGCTCATATGCTTGTCTAGAGAAGTGAAGATAGGGCTAATATGCTTATCTTTGAGAAGTGTAGATATAGCTTATATGCTTATCTGTGAATGTGGGATATAGTTCTTATACATATCTGTTGTGATGGTGATAGAGCTAATATGCTTATCAAAAATATTTATTGTTTTAAGGGCAATTTAAAATGATATAATGCTAGATATGTGACTAAAGATTTTACTCAGAAAATAGATATTAATTACAATGAGATATTCCTTTTTCACTTGTGTCTTAAAGGGTTGATTTAGAATCATTATGGCATTAGTAACTCATTACGATATTAAGTTGCATTAGTAACTCATTATGTGAAAATTAATTTTCTGAAAAAAAAAAGTTTAGATGAAGAATTTTGTGTAGATCAATTCAAAAGTTTCCCTATTGAGGAAAATGAAAATGTGACTTGCAAATTTAAGAAATCAATTTATGGACTTAAACAAGCTTTCTAAAAATTGTATCTTAAGCTTTATGATACTATTTTAAGTATGGGTCATTTATATTAACTATGATTCTATGAATAGTAAGTAGAAAGTTAATAAATTGACTAATATGTTTATTTAAGAAAAGACAAAACTTAAGTAATTGAGATATCATTTAGTGATCTTGTAATTCAAGAAGCCGAAAAGAAAGGGAGAATACTTATAAAAGGTTATAAAGAAATAGCCACATAAAGAAATGAGTCTGCTCAAGATTTTCAATCTTATAAGAAAGAAAATGGTTATTCATGTTTTTTAATTCGATACAGGATTATTTTCAAACCAATTATGTTAAAACTCCAATTGAAATTATTGGGTTTTATCGTTTATTTTTTGGGCATTGATCATTATTTAGATTTTGTTCAAAAAAGAGTCCTTAAGGCATGAAG